GCCATCCCTAGTCACTGATGTGAGGCACCATAATCACAAATCATAATCGCATTCGTACAACATCTCATCTCATAATTCAAATTCACATCACGTACACAATTCCACCTCACATACACAATAGATAAGCCCAACAAAATAAGGGTTTACACCCCTCAAGTAATTCACATCAAGATCATTCATTCTTATCAATCAATACAATAATAACATTCATAAATTAATATTATAAACAATGGAATTATCAATTTAATATAATTCAGCATAAACAGTAAAACCCTTAATTAAAACCTATCTCACAGGCACTTTTCTACAATTTCGTTCTCTCTCCCAGATCATCATTCTTACAAATTATTAGCATATTTATAATCCTCAACACATACCGAATCTAATGGTATAATTAATTCCTCAAACAGAAATAATTCAACTTTTCCAAAACCTAGCCTACAGGCACTTTTCTATAATTTCGTTCTCTCTCCCAGAGCATTATTTTTACAAATAAATCATATATTCGTACTCCTAAATTCATACAGAATCAAATAATGCCAATAATTTTTCAAACAGAAATAATTATAAAATTGCTCATAATCCTAAGGGTTCTTCTTCTACCCAATTTCCTCATGTAACTCCACATATAAATAATCTCTTTTTCCCCCGTACCTGGATACATAGGAACTCGGGCAGAACCTCCTCTTTTTCCTTAAATAAGGATCGGAACTAAGACTGGAGCAGAACCTCATCCTCTGAGTTCCCCTTGGTCTTCAGAGAGAAGAAGAGGAACAAAAGAGAGAACAGAAGAGAAGAGAGAGTGAGAATGAGAGGTGTGTAGAAATGAGAGGATTTGAGGCCTATTTATAGGATTTTTCGCCCACCTACCACTACGGCCCGTTCCAAAATCGGAACGGCCCGTTCTGGGCCCTTCAAACCTACGTAAATTTTTCAACTGGAACGGCCCGTTCCCAAACCAGAACGGCCCGTTCTCAAACCCAGCAGAACGGCCAGTTCTGCTTCCAGAACGGCCCGTTCTCCAAACCAGAACGGCCCGTTCTCCCCCTGGAACGGCCCGTTCTCCAAAACGAAACGGCCCGTTCTCCAAAACAGAACGGCCCGTTCTCCCTCCAGAACGGCCCGTTCTGCTTCTCAAATATTGGGCCTTTAACTTATTCCAGAACGACCCGTTTTACTTTTGAAACGGCCCGTTCTGGGCAACGAATTGGGCCTACGGCCCATTGAAAATTGGGCTGTTACAGTGATCAAAATGAATTTTATTTATTCCAATAATTAAAATCGTTTTTATATGCACATCCAATAAATCAAACCCCTGTTAATAGATAATGTACAATTTCCTATCTAGATGATGGTCACAACTACAAACCATCTTGTAGGGTAATTTTGTTGAATGTTTATGTGGTTTTTTCCTTCCATGTCCACAAATTATTTTCTAAAAAAAATGGTAAAATAGAGGAAATCTGCTTTAGCCACATTATTTCATACATGAAGCAAGCTCGTGACTACTTCTGATGGAATATTTTCGGAATAGACATCTACCTTATTCAGTATTAACGTATACCTAAAACTTTGTTTCCTTCCATGCTCAAATGCCTAACTTCTCCACTTTTGCTTGCACCATTTCACATGGTAAATATCATTGCATACAAAAGTGGTACATTGCCACCTCCTTTTATGAAAGCTGGTTATAGGGCACAATAAGCGTCTTCCAAATATCTCCCCCTGCACATTCTACATGTTAATTTTAGTTAGCAGCCACTCGTTGGATGGCAAAAACGATTAATGTTTGTGGCTTTCAATTCCTGTGTTACCAGCAATTGTCTATCAGCATATGCAAAAGGTATGCACGATTCTATTCTCACTGTGATCATTAGTTTACTTCTACACTTGCATGTTATCTAGTGCTTTAACTGCATTCAGGGTTTAACCGAACATATGGCCTAACTTTCATATATTAAAGGAAAAAACACACGCACATACGCACACAACTAGGTAGGTATATCTCAGTGTTGTTGCTACTTTTATTTTGATTGATTATTCATTATAGTAATCAATTACACCATCTAATAGTAGAGAGATAACGCTCAATACTGAACCATATTTACTGTGTTTATCTTTGGTATGTTCATATTTTAATTATTGTCCAAGTAGAAAGATATATTGTAACATGTTACTGTAAAGCGATTAAAACAAAAAAACAAAAAAGAGCTGTTGTGGAAAATATTCTTTTTGTTCACATACCCTACATTTTTTTTTCACCCTATCTAGATTGATCTTAGGTTAAATCAACTTTTAATAAATAGCTTAATGAAACTTCTTTATTTCAACAACCAGCATGATTAGACATGTGGACCGTACGTGAAACTATTCAAAGTGATCCCAAACGACACTGGCTAGTGGATTGTAGATTTATTTGTGATCATTGTTTCAGAACTTCCCAAAACCAGTTAGTGGCTTTTAAGTGTATTAAGGGAGAGTGAAATAGGTTAGGGAAATAGGGAACTGTTGTTAGCATCATAATTTCACTTAGCAGATAAATGCAACCTTTTTCAAATATGGCTATAATTTCTACTTAGTTACACTCTACAGATAATAGCACACTCGAGAAACTGGCATGCATGACATAGTAAAAATGATATTGAATTCCTGAACACTATCTTGATTATGGAAGGAAAATAATCAAGTGAAAACAATACCGAACAATAGAGAAAAGGAAAAAATGGACAGAGATGGCAAAGCAAAGTGGGGTTTGGTATAGTGTGGAATCAAAATCAGCATCCAACTAAAGAAGGCAAAACCAAAACCAAAACCAAATTTCCTACTCAAATTTCAAACTGATGACAATTGTTTCATTGAGTAGCCACTAACCAAATCCATAACACAACTTCCACAAGCTCATAAACAAAGCACCAAAAACTAGTTTAATCGACTAACTTACATGTTTAGAAACATTATTCCTCAAAAATAATCACTTTTTTGTTTTCATCAAAAGCTTGTGGCAAAAATAAGTAATTATTTCTAAAAAAATAACTTAAACCAAACATGTAAAATGAGAACATGATCAAAACTTTTGCTCTAATCACAAAACCAACATGTGATTCCTTGCCTTTCTCTTTAGACACATCAACCTTAAAATCACAAACGTACTTTACTCTAGAATATATAAATATATATATTTCTAGAATATTCAATTCATCATACTAGTTGAGAAGTATGTTAAAACCCAAATTCTTAACAAGCAAAAGCAAGTCCACAAAATATATTACAAGGAGAGCAGCATAAATTTTGAGGCATAAACATCTCTTCAAGATCCATTGGAGGGAGGTGAGGAACACTCACACACTACTTCAGTTTCAACCTGTCTTTTGTGGAAGTTCCTGTGGCAGCCACAAGTAGCACAAGTGAAAGCAGCACTTGTTCCTTCTCCACCACTGGCGATGAACTCCCTACAACCGTCAACAGCATACCCTCCAACATTTGCAGCATGATTCTTCTGGCACTCACCATATTTCACACTCCTAACGTTTCTTTGAGGCTCCTCTCTTCTCACAACCACTTGGCGCTTCCTCATGTTTCTTGAATCCTTCAAATCTTCTATGCTTCAAACCCTGCAAAAATTAATATACTGCAAAAAGGTTTTTAGGAGGTTTGGTGAATTGAAATCAGAAATTGGAATAGAAAGAAATCAGAGGGAAGAGAGTTAGGAGGAGAGAGAGAGAGAGTTTAACTTACTTGCGATGGATATGCAGCCCTAACCCTAGGGTGTGTGTATTTATAAAAGATAAACTTGATCTCCACCTAACAATGAATTGGAACAACTATGTGGTATACCTACTCATAAGTTATAATCACTTTTCTCTCTTTAGTGTATCTATTGTTCAATCAAGTAATAATTAATTAATGGAGGTTTTGGTTGATACAGAAATATCATTAATTAGAATATAAAAATATATTGGACTTTAATAGGCATGTATTATTAATATCAACTTATTTTACACTATCAATCATTCAAAAGAATTATCTTTGATAACTTTAAAGCAGTTATTATAAAAGTAGAAATAAAATTTTCATATATAATTACATGTAACTATTATTGGATAATAATGTAAAAAAAAAAAGAGTTTACACCTTTGATATAATTAAATTAAATTTTAATATATCATATTCTTATATATTTGAAGAGTAATTAAGAAAGTACATAAATTGTAATGATATTGAAAATATAATTGAAGAAATAGGTGATTATGTGACACATAAAGTTTGTTAAACTTTCTATGATGGTAGGTAACACATCTTGCGTTTTCAATTACTAGAGAGGCACCCACCGGTAAAATTAGTCAAACAGCTGGGTTTGACAAGTTATACATGGTTGTCCGGAAATCACTTTACTCAAACATCACACTTCATGTTATTAGGTATAGAAATGATTTTTAGTATGTGTATACAAATTTATAGCTAGCATACTATAACATTCTACTTAATCACTATAACTAGGTAATGCATTTTTGGAGGCAGAATCGATGTACGTCACAGTTTGGTGTATTTGGAAGTAGAGAAATTAATGTGTCTTTAGAAGTGAATAATTTTATAAGGGACAACTTCTCAAACAGTTTATGTTTTATTCTTGGTCTTGGTTGCACATGTTGCAAAAGTCCCTTATCTACCCATTTTCTGAATAGTGTATTAATCTAAGTTTATGCTTAATCAAAGACAAACAGTACATATAACATACCTACACTTCATTTGTATCAGCAAGGCTTTTAGGTTGCAGTAACAATTTTGTTACGTAGCTAGAAATTTAATTGTCATTTATTTTGGCTTGAGTATGGTAGGAGAGTTTCCTTAATTTTTTGGAGAGAGGATATAATATTTTCCTGCCATTCTTTGCCAGATTTGTATGAGTTGAGTACCCCTTGTACCCAGTACCCTCTTCTTTGATATTCCTTAATTTTTTGGAGAGAGGATATAATATTTTCCTGCTATTCTTTGACAGATTTGTATGAGTTAAGTACCCCTTGTACCCAATACCCTCTTCTTTGATATTTTATATATATATATTCTTCACCGTTAAAAAAATTATAACTAGGGTTAACCTAATGTAATGCTACAAGTAAAATGTTTACACTTAAAAGAATTCTTTTTTATTACAAACATAATGACTATAGGTTTATATACTTAACGACAAATTTATAGCACACTTTTGTCCCCTGAGGAAATAGTCAATATTCATGTCAAATTTACCTTATTTTTCTCTTGAAATGTTTACGAGAATCATCTAAACACATTGTGTAGTGTGTGTACAAGTGGATGGTTCTAAGTGTATACACAATTCAAAAGGGTGCATGTTCCAAATGTTCGGTTATATAGTATATATACTTGACATTCCCTGTGCATCCAACAAAAAGAGATTATGTTCTCTTAGGCATATGCTATATAGCTTCTTCAAAACTAAGGAATATATATATAATATAATTAATATAGTAAGACAAAAATTCCTAATGTTTTAACTGCCTCTGATTTTTGGTTAGGTAATGTGGTATGTGATATTGATGGAAGACTAATGAAAGAGGAGTTCCTTTTCTCCCTTATCCATTTTTGGCCACCATGTGAGAACATTGTTCTTCAACTCCCTCGTAGATGCTCTTTTATGCCTAAATTGAACAAAAGTTTCCGACATCACCATTACTCCATCTCTTTTTCGTGGTGACACAAGGATGCAAAAGCTAGTTTGGTCGTTAAACTTTTAGCTCATAATTTTCAACTTTAAATAATTAATACTAATAATATAAATAATAAATAATTAAGAAGATATTTTACAATATGGAGTAATAAAATTATCTATATATTAATAATGTTGGGGACATAAAATTTTATTAATTGAGAGAGGTAATATTATATAATTGATAAATTATTAGTGTATCAATTCAAAGATTGCTCAGTTAAGTACATAAAAATTTACCATAGGATATTGAAAGACTACAAGTTGGGACAATTTAATCTAAAAAGGATTGATATTTTGTATGCCATCAGTTTTAGTTTGGACAATTAATGTTCAACAAGAGACAATAATAAATTATTTATGGCACGTGTAAAATTTGTTTGGTGGATGAAACATTCTCAAGGAATGTCAATTGCCTGTAAGATTACCTAATGTCTATAGGTACAAAGCTTAAAAGAAAATACCTTTGAAACCAATGGAATGAAAGGAAACATTTTTAGCTGCAACAACTCCTTACGAATTTTGTTACACTTTGAGAAAACGACACGAGAGCTTTATATGAAATAAAGAAAAGTTAAAGATAAAATTTCACCTAAATTTAAAATTCAAGAAAAAAATAAAAGATGATAATTTCATACTTAATTATGTTTGTAATTTTAGAAAACTATTAGCTAGTTTATGATATTGACGGTACTACAAATTTATATATATATATATATATATATATATATATGAATTTCCTAAAAATTATTATCTTGTTAATTTATCAAAATTACTAGTTTTTGTAAATTGGTCCAACTGAATCAGAACTTTTTAGAAATTATTAATTTATCCAGTATAAATGTTTAAAGTTTAATTATATGATGTTTAACTAGGAACCATTTATTACATTTTTTATTTTGCGAGACAAAAGTCTCATTATTAAGAGTATAGCAGGTACATCAAGTCCCACATTGTATGCTCAAAGTTTAGTCTTCATTTTGTTTTTTAACTCAAGTTATGTCAATTAAAAATTAATTTTTTTTTATAGTGAAATCCATTTAAAATTTGATAATTTGATACCTCTCTCGATATATATTTTTAATATACACAAACTTAAAAATCAAAACTCTCCTTAGACGCCTTTTATTTTTTATTTCATGATTAGCTTAGCTGCTTCCCTTTATCTTATATATACGTGTGGGTTTTCCAAATCTTATTACACATGAAGTTATACGTGTTTTTGCTTTCATGTTAGTCTAAGGTGTTTGTTCCATTAAATTTCATGTATATAAAGTCATGTTAATATGATTTTTTTTATAAAATATATCTTTATATATTTTTTACCTTAATTAATTATAACTCAATTTGTAATGCTAAAACCACATAAAGAGAATTAGTAAACTAAAATGTAATAAAATTTAAAGAAGCTGATCCAATTAAAAAAAATTATTGGCAATGTGTAATTTCCTTATTTAAGTTTGTTCTCCTATTAATTTAATAATATATAATAATAATAATAATAATAATAATAATATGCCATCAGTATAATATATATATATATTATAT